GAAAAAACATAAATGATTCCTTAACCACTTATGCACATACTAGCGTCAAAACAAGTAGCTGGGATTCAACCCTAGCACATGAGCAACAATCAGTCAATCAAAAACATATAAATGAGATAAGAGTCCAGCCAACATAGGGTTAATCTTTTAGATTTGATTCATTAATTCTCGAGCATTTCTGAGTTACTTTAATCAAAGCTTTTTTCCTACCCGAATTAAATAAATTTCTGTAAACATATTCAGTCGAATTCAACAAGAGATAACCGATAATTCATAGTTTACTTTTACCTGTGAAATAATTCCTATTTCCTCCATGTTGAATTTCGCTAATTAGATTGTTGATAAAGAGGGATAAATGGGTTCAGGTTCAGGTGGTAACAAGCTCGTGTTCAACATGGACAACTTGAAACAAGACGCCAATAAAGGTTTTGTCCCACCAATGGATACTACGGCAGTGATAGTAGTTAAATTAAACATTTAAGAAATTAAAGAGGTTTACTGCGTCTTCACACTTATGCATACGAGGAGACCTTCGGGAGAACTCGAGGGCAGATCGTCATCAGACAAGCCCGAGACCGAAGGTCGAGGGTTCATTAACCCGCTCGTTGCACCGGCAATTTAAGTAAAGTAGCCAATGCTAAAGAATTCGTGCAACACGTCAACATCAATTCAAAATCTATTCAACTATGAATTGAACAACGTCAACTGCATTTTTGTAGTTCACAGTCAAGACAACAACTAAACGAATGTGCTTGCACAAATTTTGAGGTAATTAGTTCGCAAGTTATTATAGAAATCATTTGAGCATTTGCGGTAATCAGCTCATCAGGTTTAATTGGGGAAAGAAAAATGAATAAGTGACATTCGTCAACACAAATTCTCATGGAAAGAGCGATGATGAAAGAAAAGTAACGAGTCGCAACAAAAGATTCAAGATTTCTTCGTTTTATTCCTCAATAAATTTTACAAAGCTGCCATTCAAAGATGCATGTAAACTTGAGATCGTATCTAGAAAATAAAACGGATTTTTAGCTTTCTCAACATGTGTGTCACTTTTGAAGGTTATGGAAAGCACAACCTTACCTATGTGGCTATAGGTGCAGGCTGTTCGGGCTTGCCACCTTTGTGTTCGGAAGAAGGGCCAGTTGGTGTAACTTCTTCCTTCGGTTCAACAATGCTGACTTGATCAGGAAGTGGTTTCTTCGGTCCGTTCTTTCCAGTTGGATCCCATGGCAACATTATTTTCACTTTGATACCAAGGACACCTAATGAAATCGAGAGTGATTGAGCTCAATTTTATTGCAATTTTTACAATTCGAGGAGAAATGTGAAAATTGCAATCAATTGTAACAACGCGTCAACAACTTCAGCACGTGGATCACATATTGATATCGAACCTTGTCGCAGGTACACATGTCGTACAGCGAAGTCAACGTAAGTTTTCGTTGGTTCACCACTGTGGATCATTAATCCATCAACAAATTTCATAGATTTCGCTCGTTGTCCACGTAGCTTTCCAGACACGACGACTTCGCATCCTTTAGCCCCACTCTCCATGATGTAACGAAGAACGCCGTAGCAAGCTCTTAAATGATGATAATTCGTGTTTTAAAACATACCAACTATTGCTGAGTCACGTTGCGGCCATTTACACAAGCCGTTAAGTTATAGCTGTGTTCAGTCAATGATCATTCTTAATTATCTTAAGTACCTTCTTACGGCTAAGCCACCAAGCAATTTATATCTCAAAGACTCTGCTTGTGTGATAGCACTTAGTCCACGAGTGGCCACCTTTTCGGCGTATAACTTAAAAAGAAATTGCATTTTGCAAATTAATGTCAGAGTATGGCAATAACAGAAATTCAATAAAACACTTTAAGAAAATGTATCGTTTGCTTTACTTATACTTTGGCGTTAACTGTGTTGGTCATGGCAAGATTATAACTGACTTAAAAGTGGTTTATTTGTCCCTTGTGTTATGCATTTTTCTGTGATGATGTCTTAATACAAGTACATATTTACCCTGTGTAGTAGACAACAGTTTAGGTGGGTTAAACTTTTAAAAGAGCAAAAGACTTTATAAAACAGTCTATGTATATCTCAAGATCAAAAGTAATTAGTGTACATAGCATTGTAAAAATTAGATGCCACAAAAATCATAATCATGTATAATTTTCTTCATTATGAAAGGCATTTCTCTTAATAAATTCGAAGTTCAGATAATTCTCATGGTTCAAATTAGGAGGAAAAAATCGATTCGCAACTTTTTAAAATGTGCATCTACTGAAATTTCTAAATTTGCATTCTGCCTATAACATTGCTTATACACATGCCTATGTTTGAAATTTGCCAAACAGCAGTGGAAAGTTAAGGCAATAAATTGTCTGTATAAACTGGCCGCAACAATTTTCATATAGATTAATAAGAAAAACTATATCTGACAAAAATTTATTAGCTTTCGCCTTATAATATTGTTACCACGGTCTATATCCATGAAAAAGCAGTTAATGCAAACTTCTATTAACATCAAAATATTCGAAGTGTCAGTGTCAACTACAGCCAAAGTGTACTGTGCTATAGTTAGAACGTGTCTGGTTATCAATATTTTAATGGAGCATTTGTTACTGAATAAAGCATAAATAGCAGCTGTACTAAATTATGTTTTTAATAAATTTCCATTCAAAGAATGTCTAAAGTAAGCTTTAGCTGTATTTTTTCAGATTTCGATTTGCAATTTATTTGTCTTTGTTTGCTAAAGCACAAAATTGGCTCTTAATTTGTGAATTGCGATGTGTTAATTCGAACCCTGATTCTTATAGCAGCTTTCAACAAAACTTTATTATTGACCACTAAAAGTTTGTAAATTGCAAACCCGAGATCATATGTTATTTTGGGCACCTGAATTTTGTTTTTGATGGTTTCTGCGCAAATTTTGACTTGTATTTTCATTAAAATAACATACTTTCAAAATTTGCACACATACTTGCAATACACACATCATTGAAAGTGAGAAGAGGGAAGAGAACTTAATGCTATACTAATTTATGCTATAACAACTTAAAGATAATAAAACTGTGAAATAATAGACAAAAGCGCAAGTTTCAATTTAATTCATGAGGTTGCAAGAATTATCCATGAAATTGTCAATTTTCAAATTATCATGAGCTTAATTGAAATAAAAACATCAAATTCAACTTGCCTATTGTCAAAATGCTTGCATGAACAGAATGCAACTTTTTCATAAAAAAGTAAAAGTCAATCATAAAAAATTACAGAAACTTTAATGGACAAATTATAGAAACCCTGTCACATTATACAGCTTAACTACTAACAAGTAGCAATCCAAACCCGAATTGGCAAACCCTAACACTTTTCCTAATCTTAACCTAGCCTCGCGCCAGGGTATTCTATAATTGTCATGTGTCAAAACATCTTACCTCAACTGTGCCTTCAGGAAAGTTGAACCGTTTCTGTACCACAGACGTAAGTTCGCGAATTCTACGTCCTTTCTCACCCAAGATATTTTGAGTTCGTGTGGCAAGAATAATTATCTCAGTTCTTATAGGTGTAACACGTACTTCAACTCCACTGTAACCATCTTCTGCAAGCTCACGAGTTAAAACTCATTTAATTCAGCCTTGAATATCCCATCAGCTACAAACTACAAACATATTTTGAATTTTCTTAGGGTGATGAACATTTCATTATGATTATTTTGATACTTTTACTAGTTTAATAACAATTACAGCACCAGTGGGCCTGCTTAAGATGTTTTTGTATAAATGAATACTATAATAATCCGCGAATGTTATGATTATAATCCAAATCAATCAGTCAGCATAACACATGTATTGCATAGAATGTTGAAGGCAGTAAAATCTTAGATGCATGTTATTTTGATTTCAACAACTAATGAGAAGTTTATATGGCACAGGTGAATTAAAACGGGAGCGAAAGATACCTTTCGTTTTTTACTGATTTGAGTCGCCATGATTGCAGAGGCAAAAGAGGTCGTTCCTAGCCTGCTTTGCGGGTTTGATTCTATCATTGAGCCATTGTAATTTATTAATAGTCAAATACAAACAAACTTCTTAAAGCCAAAAGCAAAACGTTCACAAACTCAGCAAAGATGTTGACGACCGTCTCTATTGCATAAGGTAAGGTAGGATGGTTTGATAAACATAAGGAATAGTTATTCAAAGTTTATTTAATGCTTTACCATTTAAACACCATTGAAATTTATAAAAAACCATGTAATGTAAATAGTCAGTGCTGCCAGATGAATTTTTTAAATATTCATGCTCGCTTGCGTCAAAAGTACACAAAAATGGCAAAAAAGTTCATATTACATCTAATTTTAAAGATCGGAAGTTAACGGAAAGCCTCGGACTAACTCGGAAATTTCTGGAAGATCTCGGAAACTGTCGAAATCTCTCGGAATTACTCGGAACATACCGGAAAACATCGGATTATCTTGAAAATCGTCGTTGTTTTGAAAGAGTTGTCGAGCTCTGAAGATTTCCTTTTTATTGAGCCATGATTTATCAATACTTCCTTTATGAATATGATGAAAATAGAAAATTTATAAAATTTTGAAAAGTTCACAAAAACTTTACAAACTTTCAATGTTCATGAAATGTTCATGAAGTGAGCAAAAAGTTCACAAATCTGGCAACACTGTAAATATTTAATGTAAATACACGAGCCTGTGCAACTCCGCTGACATTTTCACCCATAATTTACCAAAATATAATAATTTTGACGAGGTTGCCATCCAGGTAATTAGTATACAGGTCAGTGGTTCATTTACTTCGATTAATTACCTTAGCGTCGATTATTCCACCAAAAGTGATGTGAGTGAGTGAGACGATCTAATTTTGCACGTTGTTGCAAAGTGTTATTATAAAATAAGTCACATAAATCAATAATGTTTCCAAAAGTTCTTGGAGATTTGGAATGCCGTATTTTCTACAGAAAAGGCGAATATTATATAAACTTTTGACAGATGGAAAACAGTAATAGTATCAGTCACACTTTTTAAACATGCTGCCATTTCATTGTGGGATGAAAAATGTTCGGTTTGTCAGATCAGCTCTAAAGATTTCTGGCCATCTGAATGTAAGTCATGTAGTACGGTAGAGTGTCAATTTTAAAGTGGTTTTAAAGCTAAAATAATTCTTTTTTTTACAGACAGTAGCAAGAAATGCTCAAATAGGTAACCATCAGTCCATCATATCGATGCTTGCCTTGTTCACGTTTTTGCTGGCAGGCAGTTTTGATCTAGTGCTTTTGGACATCACTAGCAACAATGGCTAACCTCTCTTGCGATTAATCTGCCTGCCAGAAAAACGTAAACAAGGCAAGCACATCAGTGATGTAATACTTTACATAATCAAATGCATTTCAAATTTATATTGATGTAAATATAAACAAGTATACAGGCATATACATTCATAGGTGTATTAGGTGGGGGCAGGGCAGGCAGCTGCATCCCCTTCTCCACAAATGTTAAGCTGACAAAGGTAGTTGGGCATTATTTGCTGGAAAGTTATGTAAAATAGATCATTTAAGAATGAAAATGTATTGACCCCCTCCTAAAAATGTTGACCTGTGTTCACCCATGCTTAAATTTTCATAATAAAACGTTTATGTGGTATCAGCCACTGGCAGGCAATGGGCTTCAATATTATGTGATTAAATAATTTTTTTTTGAATGTTATAGTGAGAAATGCCAGAGTTATATCGACATTGGGGCTGCCAGACAGGCAAAGGTATAAACATTCTTATCAGATGTTTTCATATAGAAAGCTGCTATGGCTACTTTTCATAAAAACTTTCGTTTCATGTTAAGAAATGGTATCCAGGAGATGTTGAAAAAAAATAAAGTAAATCATCTTGCCATATCATCATGTAAGTGACATTCTTTGTTATTAAGTATCAAGTGAAAATTTTGAAAGATATTTTTCAGGAGCTGGAAAATGACTGACAGGAAATTTTTCCACAAAATAACATGTAGGAAATTTTTCAAAAGCACATTACATAGTGGCACCACCATGTCAAAATGAACTGATGCCCCCTTTCCACCCATTGCTGCCACTTTGATGAAATTTAATGTATATGAAAACATACTTTAGATTACACTGTAATCTGTATTATTTAAAGTAAACAGTACCATTTAGGAATCGACATACAATCACTTACTGTGATGTGCCAATGGGCAAATTGTTGCCAATACTTTAATAAGGCAATGATTTTTTTTTCATTAAGACAACCTATCAGCAGCCTGCAGCTCGCTTCTATTGACCTCAGATGGTTTCACCACTGGTATATCTCTTGTTGGAAGTCCTGGGGATGAGGATGACATGGCGACAAGCGGAAAAAAAAAACATTGGATAGATTACACAGTTGAACGTTAATGTCATAGAACTTATTTCATTCACTAAAAATAACAAAATTTTAGTTTTTTTTAAATATGAATGAGTAATACTAAGTTGGTTGTGATATTTAAGACCGATGGTCTTTCCCAAGATCATAAAATATTTGAAATAACCAAATAAACAAAGGCACGTTTTACAGAAAATTTTGTCAACGTTTAATTTTTATTTTCCTCTTCTTTCTTTTCATGTTACTCTCTGTAGGTTGAGTAGGAAGAGGTCTTTTAGTTCGTCTCTTACTGTCTTCCACTTCCTTCATAATTCTGCTATCTACAATTGAGATGTTTCTTTGTTATTTTGTCATGTCATGATAGCTAATCCAAGACATAGGTGAATTTGAGATGAATGCCTGAAAATATTAGATAAAAATAAATGTTTTAGTTTTTGACTTACATTCTTTCTTGAAACTGTCAAAACGCTCATGGAAATATTTTCTTAAAGCTCCGTTTACACTTCGGTGGGTATAAAATTCCACGATCTGATCGATTAACAACAACATCACTAAAATCCCTTGAATCAAGACAAAGACTGCCACGAACGATAAATCTATTTAAAAACGATATACAGGGTGTATCAAAAAGGCCTTTAGAAATCAAGCTATTTTGAAATTTCAATGCTTAGTCTCTGTATATTAACCCTACAGGTGCACAACTGTGCATGAATTGCATTGCATTTAGAGAACAACTGTGCATAGTTGCAGTTCATGCACAACTGTGCATTTTTCAAGAATTTGGGCATGTGACATTTCAAGAAGCAGAAAAACTTTAGTGCCAATCAGAAAAATAATGCAAGTTGGCTTAACACTGAGATAGGCATTAAAATTATCACATCACGTCAAGTTCTACGGATTTAAATTTTTATACGCCCTGCATGAAGGATAGTGAAAGCAATTTCAACACTTTATGCTGCTCTAAACCTCTGTAAAATGTTGCAAAAACACTAACTGAAACTTGTCGATAAATTTTACCTTTGGGAGAAAAACACGTTAAACCGTTAACACCATCAAATACATCGAGAGTTTTTTTGCCAAACTCGTTGACACACCAACACATATCGTGATGAAGAGAACATTGTACTTTGTGATACGACCCATCTTCATTACAAACCGGACGAAATTGGTGTTTTTTTCTTGGGTCTTCTGATAATGTTCTTTCTTTTTGGCATTTTGTCTCGTTCGTATCTTAAAAAAATCCAGCTAAGATTCGTGTCTACAATCCCTAACTTTCCCACGAAAACAAGATTGACTACCAGGTTTTTGGGTCAGAAGTAAAGCTCACATTTTATGCTAACTTAATCCATATTTTTGAACACAGGATTCCACACAAACTTGAACAGAAAGACAGTAAAAATAAAAATCTTACCGATTCGTTTTACAGATATTTTATATTTAGCTGTTCCATAAGTGTTTCGGACGCGGCATTCATAGACTCCAAAGTCATCCTTAACGTAAGGTCTAAATTGCAAGAAACTGACGTTACTCTCATGTAACGTCTCCACTTTAAAGATGCAAGTATCACAATTGTGATGAACTTCCAATCCATTTTTCATCCAGTTAATCTTTACATTCGTGTCGGCATGGTATAAACATTTTAAACGAATTTGTTCACCCCGCTCAGTGTGAACAGTCGAAGGAGAACTGCTGTCCAATATCTTGGGACTTGAACTATGCTCGTTGCCTTGAAGATAAAAAAATATTTTGTTTATGGAGAGAACTCTGTTGCAGGTGATCTTGAGGAATGATATGTGAAGTATTTGTACAGATTTTCAAGTAAAAGTGTACGTTGTGAAAGATTTACTACTTCCAGTAACAAGGAAATGAACTAAGTTTCATACAGACGGCCCTTATTTTCATTTATCGTTATGTTTTATACGGTCTTCATTTATTTTAAAACAAAAAAATTTAGGAAACTAAAAGTCGGTTGCCCTCTGCAGCACTAATTCTATTGTCAAAGTTTCAGGAGACACGCTGTTTTCACATACCTAGGACCTTGCCAAGGAAGAAAAAAGAGACGAGAACAAATAAAAAAAAACTTGCCATAGCTGTTGATATAAATCATTGATATAATTTTTTTCAATTTTATATAATTTGAATTTTCAACATTTGTTTCCATAGAAACTAAGAGGGGATGATCACTGGGGATGATGAGTGGTTGCTGTGAGCGTCAAAGAATGGGTTATGGAGGGAGTATTCCATTGGAGTATTCGTTACTGTTAATGATTTATTGAATCTTTCTTCTGCGAAATTTACGTACACTAGCAGAAATACAACATAAAAGAATGACCACTAGTCAATTAAAGGAACGTAAAAACATTGGTTTTTACACGCCAATAGATGAAATACTTGTAAAATTAGGGTAGGGTGGTGGATAACTAATTGACTTCAAATATTATCATCCAACTAATCAAAAAAATCTCACCTACGAAGACGGGAAATCGCTATTGATAAACTACAGATTTTCCGGGGGGAGCTTGGCCCTGGCCCCTTTAGAAAGGCACTCGACATTATGTCCTTTGTACAGAGCCATGCCATTGTGTGTTCGAAGACTTTACTATTAGAGCTTTGCAAAAGCTTTAACGACAATTTGATATACAATGAAATGACAAGAAAGTTGAACAGCCCAAAGAGCCCACTTCATCCAATTACCTCTTTCGTCAATGAGGGCATGAGTGTAAGCTAGCAAAGGGCGAATATTCTCAAAACAACCGTTTCCAACATACTACAATTGTTTTCAAGGTTTTATCTACAAAGAAATGTTTACTTTTATAAGAGTAAATCCGGCAAACTCCAAACAAGTAAACAGCTTAAGTCAAATAAATCTCCTTAAAGCCGACACCTTAGAAACCACGGCTTGGTATCCGTTCAAAAAACGCCCAGCAAATATTTGTACTTGTAGATTATATTGCAACCCAACCAATGTTGTCGATGTAAACACTAAATATGTAGAATACGTTTATACCACCTCAGGAGACCAAAATTGAAGAAAATAGAGCAATAAAATGCGCAAAATAATTGTTTCCGTATCAGCTCTGTCACGCTGATAATAACATGTGTTTCCATTCTTATATAGTGTCATTAATCGAAAATATATCAAATGTGTCCGCTTTATGTTTTTTGGGAAGGTTGTTTCAGTGTCCGCATACGCTTACAGGAGGAGTCCGCTTCCGAGAGGTGCCGTAACATAGTTCTCTGAACTTTATCAAAACACAGAGTGACAGCACAAATATTTGAACTAGGGTTTACAAGGGCGTCGCTGATCACGATTTTAATTCAAACTTGCAAGGTTGTTAAATCGAAAGTGCTAATTGATTTGTGCATTCACTGCACAGGATGTTGAAAAGCGAGGGAGTTGCGTGTGAAATTTATATGCACAAGATTTGGGCTTGATGTCAAAATCTAAATTTCGGAAATGGACACAAATTTTAAAACAATCGCCTCATATTTGGAAACGTTCAAATGATCCTATGGAATGGTAGATGACAATCAATTGCAAACGACGTTGCACAAGAAATAAGTTTATTGGTTTCATGTTCGTTTTTCAGTTTTAATTAGAACAGCATGACTTCCGTTAAGTCCTTTTTAGCGGGATCTCGGTTTCAATAAACAGAACCGGAAAAGTTTTCGCTGTCGCACGCATCAGCTTGCCGGGACGATTGTCGTTTTCAAATTCAAAGAAACAAAACAGCTTGAGACTATTGAAATTTTCGAATTTCGACAATGGTTTATAATAAACAATTTTTAACACGAAAATTTCACACAATCTTCAGTGAAAGTCGGTGTTTTTACACGTAAATGCATGTTTAAAAAATCTCTCGCTCAAAATAATCCATCTAAGCGGGAGATCACTCTATCTTCGAACTCCGGGTCTGTCCGCTTTCACATATAACGAAAACTTCAGAAATGTACTATTTAGATACATGCGGGATCCTTTGCTTAAGAAGTCATGAATTGCATCATAGTGTTAATGTTAAGATTTAAAAACGTCGCTTTCTATAAGTCAAATAATTTTATACACGGCTCCCATTGTTTCATGTATTTTATTCGGTGTTGCACATGCGTGCACAAATCATTCATCTACAAGAATATTTTGTTCATACCCCACGAGCTCGTACAACATATTGATCTTCGAAATGTGGAAAGAAAATCATCAATTATTGTAATTTAGGATAGTTATCAGTTGTTGCAATTTTTTTACGCTAGTCTGTGATGCAAATTTTTCTTGTATAGTCAGCTGTTATGGTTCCTTGGACGTGTCTGAGCTAGTCTGGCATGACTGGGATGGGCTATTTATTTAGGTTTTCCGAACTGAATCCCAGAATTTCAGCGAACAGCATGGCGTACGAGAATGTTTGCAAATGAGATCAACATGCATAAAGAAACAAAACGAAGTCGCCACGAAAATACATAATTAAAAGGAAAAATCCTCGAATCCTTCAAATGTATGCGATAACACTTTTCCATACAGTTGCTATGGGTGCTTTTGAAAATCAAAATACATTAAGAGGGATGGTTGACTTTATAAAATAATATGAAAAAAGCAAAACAAAAGAACAATGCAAGGGTGGCATTTAGAAAACCCACGACATTGTATGTCGAGTCATTTCATAGCAGATGATGATCAACTAACTTCATATAACAATAGTGTTATATTAATTTATTAACGTCCCCTGTATATAGATTCTATAACTTATTTACACAATAAGGGACCCGTGTACAACATTGACAAACAAATTTTCATGAGTGAACAGTCAAGGAAAATGTGGCAAAAGAAACAATGAAAGGTCATATCTTTTCTGACGAGGTTACGTCCTAACGTCGCCTTCGGGTCGTTCACTTGACGCGTTCGAAGACCTCGAGCTACTTCTGTCTCTATTTGAATAATTACTAACTGGATAAAATCCTCTTTCAACAGTACGTGTGTTTCTTGTACGGCTTCGGAGATTATACGGTGAATGTCTTACAACATTTGAGCTTCTGCTTGATCCATGTCTGGTACTTGTTGTATTTACTTGACTAGTAATTGATTCATTACTTGTAGTCCTTGTTGCAACAGGTGTAAAAGCACATGGCCGTGCTCGATGAACAGTGTTGCTAACCATAGGTTGCCAAGCATACCGACCAGGCAATGGTCGACCATTCCGAAAATCAAAGTTCCATTCCTCTTGCTTACGATCAAGTAGCTGTTCGTTATCTTCGCTAACATTAATATTGTTCAACTGCTCGCACTCGTTTGTCGGTGGTTCGTCGAACAACCGTCTCCTCACTGTTCCACGTCCTCTGCTCATTTTCACTTTAATACATCGAAGATAAAAGAACTGGTTTCGCCTTGTGATAATCTGCTGAGTAGCTTCAAGGTTCGTTCATTGTACTACGATGGGCACTCTACGAGTCAACGCCACTTACCTCACAAAGGAATTTACTACCGACGCGGTTATTTGATCTCGTTAAATGACTTGTTTCCAAGGTTATGAGGACATCCTGCTGTTCATGAGTCACTCGACATGCATACGTGAACTTGTTGCCGAAAATTTACCCGCTTTTAGAAATTCGTGACCCTAATACCTCTCAATGTTATACTCTCATAAATCAGTACAATTTACAGTAGCGTTTTGTTGCGCATCCTAAATTCTTTCATGATCGATTTTCTACAGGTATTGCTTGCTGCTCAATTCAAAACGTACGCAACAGACATCCGGAATTATAATGTGCTTGTATTTCGATTCATTATAAAATCGCCAGTCAATGGAATCATAGTAGAACAATGTGCGATTTCGTATTTGTCGTTATTGGTTATTTGTGAATGGGCGTTGATAAATGACAGCGGTAATTAAACGTGACTATGTTTATAGGGGAAAAAATGATTGTTTCTATAAATTTGTCTGATGAATATATAAGTAAGAGCTAGAATTCATAATCTCCAATAAAATTCGATACTATTGTTGCCATCAATATTTATCCGTTAATGGCGTCCGGTCTAAATCACAACGCTGTTTATTCCTCTCGATAATAATCATCATTAGGAATGCGCTGTTTATTGTTGTTTCGCGAGCACTGATGTTCACCACTCGACGGAAAGAGAAAATTTCAAATTTCAATTAAACGCACACTCTTGCCATGCGATATTTTCTATTAAACCCACGTTTTGCAACCGTATACGACTTCAGATCAGGTAGATAAGGCCCACCTCGTCTGTCTGCCGACGTAAATAAAGCATCCTGTTAAATATAATGAGTTTCTCCTATTCGTACTTATTGCTGCGTTCAACACATCTCCTTTCAAAGTAATGTACAATTTTCGCACATCAAACGTAATCGCGAAAGAAAAGCAATAGTTTCCTTATACGAACAGACACTATCTGTAAAAATAGATCCCTGGTTGGGGATTCCCTCTGGAAATGATTACAAGGAACATGCAAATACAGGAAATGGACTTTTTCTTGTTGTCGCCGGGGTGGTTCACTACTCTTCAAGCCAGATTAACAGACAACAGTCAAATGACTACACGCGCCGGCCATATTGTATTTTCACAATGACTGTATCCATCATTGTAGACTAAATCCATCATTATACTGCATCATGACTGTATTTACCATTGTTCTACATCATGAAAGTCTACAGTCATGGAAATCTACTTGGATACAATATATCACGATTTACTTGCTCTTCCACCTGCAACGTGCGTAGAGTTAAAAGACCAAATTGTATCTTAAGAGTTCGAACAGCTTCTAACGAACTACTTATCAAACCAAAAAGTCTTTGTCTACTTTCATCTGCCTCATAAACCCGTGAGTAAAACAAACTCAAAATATCGTCCAAATTTTCAAGTCTTGGAAGCCATCTAACGCCGGCCATTTTGATAGTGATTTTTCTTGCATCCAATAAGTTACCAAAAAGTGACAGATCGATTTGTTTTTGTGTAGCAACTTCGATTTGCTTTTGAGTAAGTTGGATTTAAGTACGGGCTTATTTCAATTGCTTCTTAGAAGCGTTTGATATTATTTACGACATTCGATTTAAATGTATAACATTGGTAATTTTGTCCTTTTTGGACGCCCATAACTGTACCTGTCACTGTATTACATGACGACTGTATCTGCATAATATATTAATCCTAACACGGTATTTAAATATGCACATGAAAAACATGTGACTTGGACGAGATTTAAACTCGCACCTTCGGGATACTAGTCCGCCGCTATATCTACATGACTCCACCTATGATTGAGCTGCATCATCCCTCTTTCCTCCTTGGTTGCATCCAATGTTTGTTTGCTCTTTATTCTGACATAAATACAGAGTATGAATCGTAAAAATGCAATACTTTGTACCTCGTAAAAATAAATAATTTAAAATAAATAAACTTATTTTCTCAGTGGCAACAAAGATATTTGACGCATTTAAAAGAAAACAATAGAAATCTGAAGCAAGCATGTTTTGACCTCTACATTGAGCCATTTGCAGTCCGAATGGGCTTTGCAAAGTGTGTCAAGTAATATGACACGATAATATATGAACAATAACGTGAATAAATGATTTTACACAATGGGAAAGTGATCTGATTACATGTAGAACACATGAGTTGATGATTTCTCTGTTAACAAAGTGAAAATAGGATTGACATACTGAATTTGAAAGCTGGGATCGGGTGCATTTTGTTGATGTGAAGAGAATCTTTGATCTTGAGCGTAAAGTGAGTCATAGCGGAGTTGATGGTTTTAAAGTATTTGAAAATTGATATTGGTAAGAAAGGGAGGCCTGAAGGTGAAGATATTTGCAGATATTAGAATTTCCGTCATTGATCGTGGGTTCATAATTAATTCTGATGATTATATTTGTGAGATGCTTCACAAATATAGCAGAAGTTAGAGCTCACATCGGAAAAGTGGTGTACTACAAGGAAATCTGGGCGATCTCTGAAGTACATACATTGCTCACATAGACGGTACAAATAACATTTACTTCATTATTCCAAGTTAAACTGGAATATACATTCTGACATGTAAACAGGCTTGTTCCGATTGCAATTCATAAAAAAAGATTTGCATATGCTTAAATGGTCAAAGGAAATGCTTGAAATATTGACAATGAAACTGGATCAACATTATCTGATCGTTATTTCACAAAACAAAAAAAAACACACTTTGGTGAAATGTCATCTTAAACGAAAACACGGACAGGAAAACGTAAAGTGTGGGTCACTTTTTAAAGTCAACAAATCAAAATAAATATACGATCTCTTTCATTTGTTTTCGCAAAACCTTTGCGAAAACATACGAAGCGTTAATCTGGAGACAAAACAACTACCAATGTTGAACACACATATTGAATATGTAATCATGTAATCTGACGAAATGAAGGTACTGGTGTTTCTGGAAAATAACATATTAGGTGACTCGAAAGCATTTATCAAATACACTCAGTGCTATTTTAAGCTATTATACAACATTTTAAAGTGATTTATTGTTTGAACATTTAAATCAGAGTGCAGTCAATTGGCAATTTAGCTGTTTTTGTGGCACAGTTCAAAGGCATTCGCGGCAGGGTGCACTTTCTTTCCTTTCAAAAAATCGGTAAAGATATTCCAACATTAGCATACCTTTTTGTTCAGGTTTTCAAACATAAAGACAATTAATACGTGTACAGCAGAGTGAAAGTGAAATGAACTTGAACGTAATCATGACCTTGGTCTTTAAACATGCGGCATGTTTCCTTCAGAGCACAAAAATTGTAAAAAATTTTCTTGTTACGAATTGCTGAAATTTTCACTTATATTGTGTGCAAACTGACGAGATTACAAAGATCCTGAAATATGACTTACTATATTATAGCAACAAGTTATAATCATCCATACATAGAAATTATTATGTAAACCATTACTATGTTCTACTGGTTTACAACCATTTGCAAATACACAGTTGACAAATACATCGGAACTTTTCACTAGGAACATGGCTTACCGATGATCATAATATATCAGACGGAACAATACCAGCAGATGCAAAATACATCTGCTTCAACAATATACCTAGTTATGTGGCTAAAAGCTCCGGAAGCAAGCAACATATACTGACATAGCTTTTTCTTACAAACAGAACGATTTGATCGCTTTCAAAGTTGATTTGACTGGCATTGAATATCTCTGAAGTACAAAAATTCAACCTGAAACCAGTGCCTGAAACAGGTTGAAGTAAACCCTTTACTTCTTCTGATCAATTTCATTAGAACGACTTGAACAGTGTTGTACAGTTTCTTCTGTCTTTTCTGTCATTTCATTTACGCTGTACTCGCGAGATGAGCTACAGTCCTTTTTGTCAAATACATTTTCTGAAGGAACCGACAATGTCTCGCTATTTGTGATAAAGTTTGACGAAGTCGCCGGTTTTAAATTGTCTCCATAACGCGCTTCAATTATCTTCATTATTTTACATGGCGAATCCCCAATGTCTGAAAATCGATCTTCAATGAAATCGTAACCATACTTTTTTTCCATTTCTTTGAGATGAGAGATGTTCTCTTCCTCAGCTTTACGCTTCGTTTCATCATTTTCAATGTCTTCACATTTACCGAATAGACATTTTACAACTTTAGCAGAGGGTCTAATGTCGTTTTACGTTTTCTTGTACTTGTAGGACTCGTATCAGAGCTCATATTTTAGTTCCGTATTGTTTCGTGTTTCAGACAAGTTTGAGCAAGAGCTAGGTCAACGGACGTCATTGTTGACATACAATGCTTATATTAATACCAATAATTTATGCGCATTTCGCACGATGACAACACGACCGATCAAAGTATTGAGATCATGATGTACATTTGCACATGATTATATCATTTATAGTATTAATAATGCGAAAACAAGCGCCTATGAAAATTAATGTTGTCAATAAATTTGTACTGCACGCAAGTCGCACAAGGTAATTCAAGTATTCCACAATGACATTTGATGTTAGCTTAAGTTCTGCCGATGTAGCATGCTGGGCGCGAGCATTTTTTTATATATTCTTTGCGTATTCCCTGTTATAACATGTACGGCAAATAATGTCATAATAGACTATTAGCAGATTACTGCAATTAAACAACCAGCTTGGCCAGTTGTAAATTGTAATAAGTACTTACTTCTGTGTACAACATCGCGCATTTTCGACGATGCCAACAGCACAGTCACCCACAAGCGTCAAATAACTAGCCATGTCAACTAAATACAAAATGAAAACAAAAAGTGGTGGATTTTCTGTCAATACGTCCAACAAAAAGAAATATATGGTGTAATTACACTAAGTAGACTGCAATTTTGTTTGTTATTTTTATGTAATTAAGATTAGGCAGGTTCAGACACGATTAAACACGTCATACAAGTGAAAGACTAGAAGATATGATAGCCACACAACAGGTCAACGGTAACACAGTCACTGATCTACAGTATGCCTGAAACATTGCAACAGCTAATTATAATTTCAAAGTAACAAGATTGTTGGTTTGAAATTACCAAACAATATTGATTTATCAAGCAAAAATATTGCCAATAAAACTGTTCAAACAGATGTACATATTTTGTTTAAAATGCATATTTATTGTAATGTAATTAGCGATTTTTGTCTATAGTTTTACATCTGCTACTGATATTAAAACTGTTATTAACTGACAATATTCACATAAATTTGCTGGCTCATCAGAAAGTATATTTATTTCTAAAAGAAAACTGACCAATAAATGTTAATAATTTCACCATACATACCAGTACTATGACCAGTCAGATGCTAATAGTTCAAGATTCAATCAATTTCTGAGATGGACACAATCAATTTCAGAAAATTTATAAAGCTAGAGACCTATGTAAAATCTATAGGTCTACTACTGCCGCAATGCTACTGCAGCATTGATTGAAAAAACTTTGGGCTTCCAAAAAAAAAGAGCTATAGCTATAGCCTACCAAAATATTGATGTAAATTCAGCAAGTGTAGACTTCCTTTATGTATTTAAAAGTTTTATTTTACTGTCTTGATATTATTTTCATGTGAACATTTGGGTTATGTTTTCAACAATTTGTGGTTTTAAAAGAACAGACACATATTTGGTTACATGGTTATTTCAACAGGCCAAGTATGTTTATAGCACACACTTTGAACAAAACTGCTTTCATAATACATGATGAACAGTCCTGTTAAATGTGGGATAATCTTATTTTAATATTGAAGGTATACTTAGCATTTGTAAATTTTGTATAACAATTCTGTTGTAAAAGCCAATTCTATTGCACTTTTGATGTAACATTACTTCAATTATATCAAGGCTGCATATAATTCAATGAGGTTGTTTATGGCCAATTTTGTAACAGTGGTGGCAGAGCTGGTGGGGGCAAGGTGCGCACATACCACAAAAAATCATTAATGGTTGGCCTGTTCCCACTATACTATCTAAGAATACAATACATATCTAATAATAATACAAGAAATAATACAATTTTTGATAACTTTTCAAACAGTGGAAAGACTTTAATTCTTCAGCCAATTTGTGATTTGTTTCACTGTGTCAACCGAAAAGCAATTTGCTTTGGTCACACATACATATTTCTTGATATTCATGGTAGAATATTTTTTTTAATCCCACTCAAATCAAAAACAAACTTTAATGCTAATCACAAACAAAAGTTTTAAAATGGAAGTAACAGAGCAAAACTGCTCCAGACTACATGGGGTTTGTTGAATTAGAAAGTGTTGTATATTTACCAAGTTGAATAGACATTGAATAAACCGTTTTCTTCTTATTTCTATTAAGGGAAAAAGTTATTAGAAGATATTTGAGATAGCATCGGTTCATTAATTGCAAAACTTGTGCAGTGTTCAATTCATTGCCAATGCTACATTAATGTTAATTGTCATGTGTTATCATTTATGATGTAGTTTGTGAGTGCAAAGAAGCCATCAATGTAATGTTATGATATCCACTGCAATAATGTTATGCTATATTATAAAAACGTCATTAGGGTATTGATTATAAATAAATATACATGTTGACTTGGCAAGAAAGTTGTCTAGTAAAAACAAACACCACCGTCAGATTTATTGGTTATGGTTAATTATTCATGATTAAAAAAAAGAGATTGTTGTAATAAGTTGTAGATTACCAGCACTTACATCCAGAACAACCTTCAAAATTTCTTCCCTCGCACAGAGTAATACTTCTTCTCATTATCTCATATTGTCATACACACAACACGTGCCCCAGGCGGCCTGTAGCGTTGTACCAGTCCACGTACGTCGTACATTCTATGTACACACAAGTTGAATATTTCACATAGCTTTCACATGCTTTAATACGTTTTACTTTTCGAGATATTGAACTCAAGCAAAGTGAAGCCTGAGAAAATCAAGAGTGTTGAAAAAAATCTTTGCACGATATGACGACATTCGACCATGCATTCTTCGACATGTACATGTTAACTGACTGAAAGAAGTAACTGGATATACGTTTGCTTGTAATACGCATGCCCGATATAATTTGTTTTATTAATTTTATAGTTTTGATTTATAGTTAGAACGGAGAATCAGCGAGACACTTTCTCTGCGCATATTTCTGAAACTTTACCAATAATTTTATCAAATAGAATACTATACAAGTGTTATGGGATGAATTCAGTCACGTGCTACACGTTGTTTTATGCGATTGGTTATTTATTATTTTTTCAATGACATATTTTCAAGCCCATTAACTACATTATTAAACATACGCATAAAATTTTGATCAAAACACTGAGTTTAACGATGTTTTTAGAACATTCATGAACGTTATTCAGCAATGTTGTCATCATCATCTTCTAAGTCCAGATTCTTGCCAATGGCCCATTTACAGAACTCATCAAACATAATGAACCCACCACCATTGGTGTCAATCTTTTTGAACTCAGCCTCCATATCGTTTATGGGTCCCACCCATGTTTCAATCTTGCTTTTTCCATTCACGAACTCTATCAAACTGATTCGCTTATCACTGTTTGCATCAGTGCGACAGAAGGCCACCCAGTACTCAAAATACTGTCGAAGCGCAAGCAGAAACCCTCGGAACTCCCTCAACTCAATGTAGTCATCGCCCAGGTCGCCTCTCCTTGACTTTTTGCTATTCTTAGCTAGTTTGAAGGCCATCATGATAGCTAGTTTTGCGTTGAATATTTCATCAATATGCAACACATCTCTGATGCCTTTTTCGACTTCGGCCAGTGAGAGGATTCCGTTACCGTTGGGGTCAAACTGATTGAACATTTTCTTCCTTGCAGCCTTGTCTGCCCTTGCAGTAGGTAGCTTAGCATTTATCGCAGTCCAATCAATATCCATATCTTATCTATGGTTTTATTAAAGATAGCAAAGGTTTATTTCAAATATAAAATTGACTGATTTCTCTAACTAGCATTTACCATGGAATATATAATGAATAACGATTAGCAATGATGAGTATTCGCTATAAAAGATTTTGCAACGTAATGAAATCAATCATGCAAAACTTGTCCTCATTATTTACTTGTCCAAGGATGGTATCGTATGACTTTCGCTAGTTTTAAAAAAAGAATTATAGTTTACCTAAGGAGACTTTTCATTGATAAAATATGTATATATAGTGGGTTGCAGCCCAGTCAAATAATGTAATCTCACCAGTGAATGGCATATTTGTTTTGCATTCCTAAGAGCCGAAATTATAATATTTACATAAGCAGTTAATGAAAATGTCAAGAAGCATCCAGTTCGTACAAACAGACAAGTGAAGCAACTAAACTGGTCCATCTCGACACGCACAGGCTTCGGGAATGCGACCGACTCTCGCAAAACTGAAAGCATTCATATATCTATCGTTTACTTGACAAAAGATGTGCACCTTACAACTTCATGATTTATTGTTTTGCTAATGAGTCAATGCAATTGTTTCTATTGACGAAGTCCTGTTTGAGGCAACGATCGCCAAACAATTTTTGCTACTTCTAGTCAATGTAAAATGCTACTTACTACATTACAACAAAGTATATAAAGAAGATATAGCTTTTGAAAGTATTATTTGCAGTCTTGTTAAAGCGAATTTCAATTAATAAAAATGACTTAGCTTTCGTAAAATGAAGTACAAAATTACACATGCGCAATATTTGTACGTATTTTTGCTGATTGTATGTAATAACTACAAATTGACACGATCTAAAGAGCCATTTAGTTAGAAAAGTATGAAATTTTACTCTTACCTTTAGCGTCTAGAAGCTGCTGGTGATGTTTGTCAAATGTTAATGTCGTATGAGTGCAACTTGGCGTGAAATCACTCCTGGGTTTATCATTAAATTATTGCACAAAAACATTTTACAAGTCCAAACAAAACAATTTGAAATTCTGCCAACAAAGGGTAAGTAAGTCACTCTATCAAGTGCTTTTTTAGAGAATTGCTGAAATCTTTTCTTGTTTCTTCTCTTCATAGTACACAAACCATGTCCATGTTAAAATGGTCAAGTTAAATAGGTATATATTGTTTAAAAATATATCGCACTTCTGATGCAAAATTTAATCCCTGGTGAAACAAAATTTAATTCACCGGTGAAACGGTGAAGTCACGTGTCGCACAACTTTTAACATGTTTGATGTTTTGTATCAACAGAATGACGAAGTCGACAATAATCATAAAAAAATCAAGCAATTTAAGCGTGAATAGTATATGTTTTCAATAAGATGGCTTTATCAACAACTGCTGTTTATTTTAGTAAATACTTATTTGGATCAATCATACCATACTTTTTTAGATACTTAAATTAGACCAATTCACCTAAAATGTATTAATTTACCAATTTTGGTCATGCTCAATGCATTTGTATGTAGAAGGGCCATTGATTCTTTTTCCAAATATAGGCACAAATAAAGCAATCATTATAGATCATACTTCACATTTTAATTTTCAAAAATAAATAAGACTTGTTGAGTCAGAGCTGGTGACAACAACTTTGCAAATTTCTCTATTGAAGTAAATATTAAGATCTTCAGTCGTGCAATTAACTTGGTCTTATACCTATTTAGTCCTTTTCTGTTCAATCTTATATGTAACAGAATGTTTTTGCTCAATTTTTTAATGAATGTACGGATTAAGAAAAAGCAACAGTCGTATCAGAGAAAATGGCGATGACGTTTTGAAATATTTGAACCAAATTTGTCCATAGTGCCGTAAAATAACTTCTCGTTCCATAAAATGAGAAACAGTCACATAGTAAAGTTGAGTGCCGGAAAATGCCATTGATGCAAAGTGACAGGGACAATTTTGCCTTAAAATATGTTGTTAAGAAACGGATGATACGTTTACCAAAACATTTAATTGAAGCGTCTATTATTTTCACTTTACGATGGTCAAAGTTGATGCTTGTAATTGTGAGAAAACAGAATTACATTTAATACAATGATCACAATGAACAGTTACAACGTTGCCTCAGTAGAAACAACCTAGACATAATATCAAATTGGTCACCAACCTTCCTTTCTGGGAAAATGTTATTTATATATGCTTGATTATTGACTGGTGTGCTTAGGTAAAGCCATCGATAATTTATTGCAGTTTTATAACATTTTCAACCCCATCTAACTACATTATTTTAACTCCGTTAACTACATATGTTTTGAAAATCATATGTTCTATATGAAAAGGTTTCTCAATAAATATGACTAATTATGAAATATGATCAAAATTGTAAGTTTTAACGTGTTTTTATAACATTCATGAACGTTATTCAGCAATGTTGTCATCATCATCTTCTAAGTCCAGATTCTTGCCAATGGCCCATTTACAGAATTCATCAAACATAATGAACCCACCACCATTGGTGTCAATCTCTTTGAATTCAGCCTCCATATCGTTTATGGGTCCCACCCATGTTTCAATCTTGCTTTTCGCCTCCACGAACTCTATCAAACTTATTCGCTTATCATTGTTTGCGTCAGCGCGACAGAAGGCCACCCAGTACTCAAAGTACTGTCGAAGCGCAAGCAGAAAGCATCGGAACTCGTTCAACTCAATGTAGTCATCGCCCAAGTCTCCTCTTTTTGACTTTTGGCTGTCTTTTGCCAACTGGAAGGCCATCATGATAGCTAGTTTTGCGTTGAATATTTCATCAATATGCAACACATCTCTGATGCCTTTTTCGACTTCGGCCAGTGAGAGGATTCCGTTACCGTTGGGGTCAAACTGATTGAACATTTTCTTCCTTGCAGCCTTGTCTGCCCTTGCAGTAGGTAGCTTAGCATTTATCGCAGTCCAATCAATATCCATATCTAATCAAAGAATGTCCAATTAGAGTTTCCAAGTTTAATCATGGAAACATGGAAAACGATTTTCGATACAAGCTGATCATGGTTTCGGCAGCTCAATGGAATCAATCATGCAAAACCTCGTCATATACTTTTTAGATGTATCACTATTTTGTCATTTATGAAAAGAACGTTTTTCTTTGGCTTAACAAATATCAGACTGTTTGAGCTACTCATAGCAACGAGTTTGTACAGATAAAGAATAAAAGTAGCGGTAACGGGTTGCAGCCCGGTCAAATGAATACTCTAAATAGTTGAAAGCCAAATATTGTAATTCATGTAATCAGTTGATAAGACTATGCCAAAAAATGCACTGCACCAATAAAGGACAGAGAATCAACTTTACTCACAGAAAATGGGGAATGTCAAAGTAGCTACTGGTCGCTTATAACTTTTTGTGTGATAAGCCAATGACTATACTATAGTTTTTAACGAAGTCTTGTTTTGACAACGATTATCAACAACATGATGCGATGCTTACTTGCTCTGAATTAACAAACGTAAAAAGTTACGTTTGACGAATTATTAAACCTAAAATTTGCATGTAATCTTCTGGTAATGATTCCCAATGAATACCAAAACAAAATGGACAAGCTTTCGTAAAAATTCATATATAAATGCTTTAAACAGTACGCACATAATTCTTCGTGCAAAAATGGTCGTTGCCTTCTTCTGTTTATAAATAAAGCCGTGGTACGCGAATTTTAGTTTTGCGAGGACAATAATAATCAACTCATGCCACTCATCGTAAAGTACTCATCCTACAAGTTATTGGTAAATTGACCAGAACTAGGGGTCGATGTTCATAGAGAAATACAAAATTTCACACATACCTTGTCTGACGGAAAACTGCTTGAGTGTCGGTAGGCAAATGTAAATTTCGTATATTGACAAGTGTTGTGTCAGGTTTGTTTTAAATACCTCAGCCAGCCATAGAGATTAAATTATTTATGTGCGTCTCACTTTATGCATCTGTAGCTACAGGTGTCCAAAACTATTTACGAGTTCAAATAATTTAAATGGGAACTTTGCAAAATGTGCAATTAAAGTCCATCATTTTGCACGACATGTCACTCAGGATACATTTCTACATTCTTCATTAGAACTTTCGAGAACTTTTGCGTAAATTTGCTGATAATATTGCTCGTCGTCCGGGGCTACATGATACACTTTACCATTTTGAGTCATTGCGCTAAAATAGAAATCAACTGTGGCGACTGCATTCGAAGAGGCGAAGCCATCAAAATGCTATTTTGCATATGTGAAAACATCCATCCCAACAGGTTAAATAAAGAAACAAAACAATTTAACGTGTCCGTTTTATCGGACAATGCAATCGATTATATATAGTGCAAATTTGCAAAATAGAATGGGAAAATTCTTCTTTTATTGCAATTTCTTTTTATTCTATATGGCTGAAGCATCCAACCATATGTATCCAAGCATAAGCTCCAACATGGCTGAAGCAATTTTTGCTCGCGACATCGAATGTAGGATATGCATCTTTCTGAAGCGATTGTTGATTAAGTTGATTTTTTTTTAGGTAATGCTTGGTAGATATGCTATGAAAAAATATGCTTCAACCAGATCCATCATATGAACAATTTACATGCAAATGGTGTTGAAATTTGGTCAATTTCTACAATCGCATTTTTTACACATACGTATATGTATTATGGGTGTATGTAAAAATCATGCATTAATTACTAGGGTATCAATAATTGTTCTTTTCTCGTTCTCAATATGACAGTTCTATTCATCCATTGCATTTCTAAGCATTGCTCAATGCGTGGAAAACTGGAAATTGTGTCTTTATGATCAAATCACTTTTATATCTCACGATTGGCGTTTGACGATTTCTTTCTTTTAAAAATTAAAATGGATACAATCAAGTGGAACAAGATTGCGTGAACACACACATGCGCAGTTTAAAAGACACCTGCCGCAACAATTTGATCGCGCGATATTTTGCATGGAAGAGAAACGTCATCCTTGCAATAACGACCCAGGGTGTGCGGGTCAATAGGGACGGTAGGAAGAGGCATTAAATGTCACTAAATCTTCAAACTACCCACACTTTTGTCTGAATCGGTTATTTTGCCAAAATATGCAACTTTGCCTCTAAAATTATATTTACATTCGTTATCGTAATAACAACAAAGACGCAGGTGAACCAAATATTGGCAAGAGTCTCCTTGTGGCTAACTCTGCAAGTGTTTTCCAAACAAACGAGATAATGCATCAAGTCGCGTTGCCCTTTTGCACAAACATTTCTACTTTCAAAAAAGAAATCTTTAAGATTCTCAAGCGTTTTATTTTTTTCCTCACCGTCTCTTGCTTTGTCGAATACCCTGAGCGATTTGTTTATATAAAACATAAGACGAAATTTAATTGAAATTAAGTTTGAACACATGTACTCAATGAATTCAATATGCATAGGAGCATGTTTAGAGAGATTTCAGGAGCATATTTATAAGGAGGCAGAAGGATGTTTAGAGGGATTGCAGGAGGATATTTAGAGGTATTTCAGTAGCATGTTTATAGGCATTTCAGGAGCATGTTTAGAGAGATTGCAGTAGGATATTTAGAGGTATTTCAGCAGCATGTTTATAGGCATTTCAGGAGCATGTTTAGAGAGATTGCAGGAGGATATTTAGAGGTATTTCAGCAGCATGTTTATAGGCATTTCAGGAGCATATTTAGAGAGATTGCAGGAGCATATTTATAGGGAGGCAGGAGGATGTTTATAGGGATTGCAGGAGGATATTTATAGGGATTCCAGGAGCATGTTTAGAGGGATTGAAGGATGTTTAGAGGTAACCTGTCTACAGAATGAACGCTATTCCACAGCCTTTGTCACTGTTTCCTACAAGCAGTATCTAGAGACATGTAGAACAATTTAGTAAGTTTAGTAAGAGAAGATAGAAAGATGGCAAGTTGTGCAGAACAAGAACCAAATATTACACATCGATTTCCAACACGATAAATAGCAACATCACTACAAAACAAGAACGATTCTTTAATTCAACAACACAAATCGATTAAAGACGTTTTATAATGACTACTGACATAACTATTATAACCATTATTACCGCAAATAATTGATATTTTAGCTTTTTACAAACACACCGAACAGAACCAACAGCAAACTTTTATTCAGTCCACAACGTAATTTGCTGTACTGGCTCAAACGATCAAATATCTCTACTTAAATTTTTCTATATTCTAATTTATCTATATTAGCGACTCCTTTAAAAAAAGTGTTATCCAACATCCATCAGTTGCATATGAGAATGACGTTAAGTACACAAGCCGAAAAAATATTTATGGCAAAAATTAAGTTGAGAACCGCCAAGTTAACAAAGCAATCGTACATAATTGTTAACTTTCAATAGATGAGAGAACAGCGAAGGGTTATAAAAATGTTAAGCAACTTATGCATAAATTATTAAATGTATAAGGTCTGTCGATGGCAACTTTTTAATGACACATTAGAAATTTGAAATGCAAGGGTAAAATAACTATCCGTTCTTCAGAAAATACAGCTTCTCAAACGTACTGCCACATCAGACAAACATGAGCCCTGACGTTGTTACGAGAAATATAGCAACGTGTGAGATGACACTTCCATGGCATGCTCGTGAGGGCCACGTGGTGTCCACAAAGATTTTCACGCTACCACGTGTGGTAGGAGAGTCGTTGTCATTATCGTTTGTATAATGAGTGGGAACATCGTCGCTCAAAGTATTATTGTTTATACGATCACCAGAGCCGGAAAAGGGATATCTTCGTCATCCGTAATGAGTATAGATGTAGGTGCGTAATTGTCTGTTTTCTCGGGAGTGGAAGTTTTGTTTGTGCCGTCGTTCGAGACATAATCTGGTATGACAGGTGGTGTACTTTTTACAACGTTTTTTCCCCTAATGGTTTCACCGGAACCAGAAGATTCATTGTCACCAAGAGGTTCGTTGCTACCAGATCCAGATGCGCTAGATGACTCTTCGTCATCAGACCTATGTAAACCATCACCACTAGCATCATCATCCTTTACTGGATTCGTGATCATTATTTTCAATTTCGAAAGTTGATCTGATATTTTCCTTTGATAATCTAAATCTGCATTGACTAACGATAACCCTAACCTTGGAACGTCTTCCGAATTTCTGAAAAGAAAGATTGCAGTACGTTAAGGCACACGCCTAAGTCAAAAACAATTCCAGTCGGCTTTTATATCCAAACATATTTCTGGCAGAAAGCCGAACAACATGCAACTCATACAAAAATTAAAAGTGTCATTAAATTCCAAGGGTGAGATGCACGGGTTTATATAATACAGCGTAAACAATACTAATTAACTTCTAAAATATTTTTCGATTTCGTAGAATAGTTTTTGAGGAATGAAGCTAAATATTACTGTCGTATCAAGGGAACTGGGACTTGGAAACCCTTTTCGGTCATTTTCGGTCATCGACAAAGAGAAAAGAAATAATCTGGAAAATATTTACTTCAAAATGACGTCAAATTTTCGTGACAACGAAGCAAAGACCAACCTCTGTATCGTAAAGCCGTTCCAACAACTTTCATTTTGTGCACGAGCCGCAAACACATTCAAATCACAAACCGTCTTTGGTAGGTTAGTCCACACGTCTCCGAACTTAATCAATTCATCACGAAACTCCTTGGTAAAGCTAAAGAAATTCGAACGATTTGTCATGGTTGAAGAAAACGCATAATTTCATCATATGATTACAAAATGGATGAAAATATCTACTCAGTGAAAAACACTTTAAATCATATAATAAACGCCCGCAGTGTTTAATGAATTCCAGCGGTTCTAGGGAGGGCGTTTAATAGACACGAGACGTTTCAGAAGAAGCGTTCATATCATTTCTATCACCTTAGAGTGCACAAATAAAAATAAAACTAAAATTAAATATATGTTTTTTTAAGCCCAATGGACAACATACTATTATAACATCATCGTCATGTTAATATGGTGTAAGATGTCAATTAGAGACGGAAAGTTTATTAGATAAAGGGGACTAATACAAACTCACGCTTCGAGAAGGGGAGGGCTAATTTGATAAGGGGAGTTTCTTCGAACATTTACGATATTGTAATTTCTTACGTACGTGTCAAAGGATAGTGGATTTTCCGTGGTTTTCATTAGTGAACTTCTTCTTTTTCGTTGTCCCTCCAGGTAGAGATCACTTCCACTGCGATCTATTTCTCGTTTTCTTCGATTTTTCGAAGGACACAAGGACTTAGCCTAAATTAATGGTTCAAAACGTTGATGAAGTCACCGTTATTCTAGTTTTACTAGAATACAAAACGAAATACTTCTGAACACTTGATTACAATTGTGCATGCACAAAAAAGCATGCTACTTAAAGCAGAGTTAAACTAGCTTTTTTATGCAGCTACGAGCCTTTTCTCTACTATGAAATAACTTTTTTTGTTAGCAATCATTGTTTGCTATCACAATTGAGCCAAAGCTCCAAAATGAACGATATGCAAAATGGTAGATCCGCAAGTTGAATTCATAACAAAAGTAAAAAAGGCGCATTTCAAACGTCGAACATTAACAATGCATTTAAAAGATAAAGAGGATTTTTGCCTCATTTTCCTTTATCTTTAATGCATCTGGCGCAAGTAAAATTCGACGTTTGAAAAATAGTTTGAGGCAGGCCAAAAAGAAGCTAATTACAAATTACAAATTCGAGGGGGCAGTCTTCTTGGAAAAGAAAAATTGTGAAGTTGTCGGAGCATATGAATATAATAATGCCAGAGCATGAATTTATAAATATAGAACCTTTGCCAACACTTTGCCGAAATTTTTGCTCATTTCCATGATAGCACTCGAAATATCGAAACTGAACATTCCAAATATCGCAGTGATGTCGTACTGGCCATCAAGTTTACCAACTAATGCGTACATGCCACGCATGTAATCACGCCAGTAGCCATTTAATTTGCCATCAAAGTGGAAACATCGACCCAAAACGTTATGACAAGTCCCATTACACATTCTGGCATCAGGAATTCCGTTACAAACATCACAAAACTGAGCTTTGGTGAACTCTTCTATGCATTTTTTGCGTAAAAAATTACCAATCAGAGAGGAGGCAATAATGTACCCTTTCCAAAGACCCGTCGAGAACACTTTGGCGTACACAAGCGTTGTAAGCATGTTCATCGTGATTTTCCGTGGGTAGATACCAAAAGGTTGTATATCATCGATTCGTCTAGCGGAGCAATTTATGAAATCCGTATCATTCAATAATTCTTCTTTCCCCAAACCAAACATTGTAGATTGGGTTCGTTGTAAAAACTCGAAAGGATTGTCTCAAATCAATCTTCCTATTGCCAGTATAGAAGTCTTCCAAGGTAATAAACAAGTCATCAAAATTTCACGATTTTTATAGAAATTATTCATGTACACGCGAGCAAGCATTTCGCTCCATTTTTCCTCGATGTGCGAAGCAAATTCATCATAAAACCTGGAAAACAAGCCAACCACATTAATTACAACAATGAAAAGAAAGATTAATAAATTAAATGACAAATGTTTCAGGCTGTTATTGATATTTGATATAATAAGATACATTCTCCGAAACGAAACTTGTCTATGTAAAAAAAGAATTTTGGTAATCTTGTTACTACATGTGGAATTTAAAAAAATATCACAAAAATAAGTCAAATGCAAGAAGCCCGGACGAAATTAATAACAGTCAAAAGATACAGCATAAAATAACAGTTAATCAGAAAAATCGAATCACCGTGGAATACGCAATATCAAGTTACCAAAGTTAAATTAATTTACTAGTACATTAAAAAGCAAAGTGTCTCGTTTGTAGTTATCATTTTGTTGTCATCGATAAGGCAAGATGTGTGGGCTAACATTACAGTATGAAAGTATGATTGGTTAAGAGCATCGGTGATTAAAACGCGTGAAATATCACACTAGAGCCACACTAATGGCTTCTGTGTCATAAGAAGGAAAATTAAAAGGAATTTCTCAGAAGAAAAAAGTTAAACCAAAATCCAGAATAACTGTAAAAAATACAGTGATTCAAGTAGGTACTCGAAGGATAAGAGGACTTATCACAGATTTTCAGTTATGGAAATGAACACGCAAACCTCAAACCCAAATCATTACCTCACAATCTTCAAAACCACTTCTTAACCTCATTCAATTCCTGCTTCATAATTCAAGGGAAGAATGAGACGTTTACGAGTTAATTGTGTAATATAAAAGACGCGGCCATATCTATATTTCCACTGTTTTATTAATGTATTCATTAAACTTCACAATTTTTAAATCAACCAAGAACGAACGAACTTTTGTAAAAGAGTTTTTTTCCTGTTTCAGACAATTCGTATCAACAAGCATGAATATTAACATTGATTGAACAAAAAAAAACATAAGCAATGCAAGGAATTCTAGCATTTTTTTGTCCATTTAAATTATTGAAACGTAATGTGTCAAAACCAATATTTCCATAGCGCCTGTGTTGGCACGATATCGGAATGGAATGAAAATGGCTCTAATTATCAGGTGCGATATTTTAAGTGCGAATGATTAGCTTATATTTGCAAACCAATTACCTTTCCCGTTTGTTTTAAACACATCTATTGATGCATGTCATATATATTTGATGAAAATGAAATATAGTTAGCAAATGACACATGGCAACGAACAATAGCAAATTCTAGCACATTCGTCTGCAAGATTATTAGTACAAGTCTATAAGTACCAAATGCCATACTTTGATAAATATAAAACACAATTGACAATCCGCAAATAGCAAACATATTTATTCTAAACATTAAATAGATATGACATAAACGTTCATTTAGGAGCATAAGTCAGTGATATATTGAAATAGTTTGAAGTGATTCGATTTGTCAAAAAACATGCAAATGCGTCAACGCGAACAACTAAACTTTAATCTTTTGCTATAAGGCTTTTGTTTCATTAAACTGACAGCCATTAATACCGATTGCATTTTTCGATGAAATGTGCCAATAATCTTCTCAAGGGGAGGGAGTTTAAATCGAGGCTTATGTACAACACCGATTAAAAAAGATGAAAGGCAAGAAATAGTATTAATGCATCAGGGTATTTTTACGGTAAAGCGGTCATGCCCGACAATAAAAGAATGAACGCGTGTTGAATCTTTATTCAATATTAATTATAAGGGTTGTTTTGATGATTGATGGCTTATTTACCGTTGAATGTAATTTCAGTTCAAAGTATTATGTGTTTGTTGTTTAACGAACCACAGGTTACATGGTATTCATACAGCGAGTATGTACATGAAGATATACATTCATGAAAACATTGTAAAGTAACAGTCATTCTGGCTGTTCATCAAAATCTTTCACAGTGGCCGACAACAGCAAGCCACCGCAGCCCTTTAAGGTCATAAAATGAAGACCAAAACCTTTCACCTATAGTTCAAAACATGATCAAACGCTCTATAAACAACGCAGTACATGATTAAAATCCCATTTACATTGTTAGATACACAGCTCACATTGTACACAAATGTGATGAAAATCTACTTCATGATGAAAATTTGTCAGAATTGAGACATTGTCAGAATTGAGAGTGTTTAGTTGAGCATTATTAGCACGGTTTGATTTCGAGCAAGCGCTTGATTTTGGCACTTACCGTCGAATTGCGAAGCTCGTGTTTTAAGAAACTGAAGTGTGGCATTAGTTTGGCGTTGAAGGGCAACTTCGAGTATCCTGCTGCTTGTAGCGTACAATTCATACTCCATTTGTTGCGAACAACATGTTAAATTGCTCCGACATATCCTCAAATTAAGACCTACAAAACAAAAACATACGATATTGTAAAACTGCGACAAAGATGCGTTGATAAAATCGATTTACACAGATAGAAAGATATAAAATGACGTTGAAAGCCATATACATACTAACGGCCTTGGTCTAAAGTCGAAAGTGAGACCGCACTCTTCGACTTAAAATACACCGTTCACTAACCTTTTGTAGGTTTCTTCAACAAAAGATCTTGTGATACGTTTTGAAAAAGATTTGATTGAAGTGAGCAGTTTTTCACATCACTCGTTATTTTACAATTCGCTGACAAAAGTAAAACCAACAAAAACACTAGAACGACGAAGTCCTTCATCTTGAGAATTTGAACGATAATATTCTTTAGGCTTCAACACAAAGACGCCACAGCAAGAACTAAGGCAAAAACTATCATTGGACAACAAACAGAAGCAAGAGACTACGATTATCGGATCGAGAACAGTTCTTCGACAGAGAAACGAGTGACTGAATATAAATAATTGTATTCATAAACAATGTTGACGAGAGACGCGACATCCCGCTGCTATCGTGTTACCATGATGGAGTACAACCGGAACAAGCCATGGGGTGGAGAACAAAGACATTTTAAAGATGATTCAATCGATATTTTATGTTTATTCTAGAAATATCGACACTTTGGGGCTTAAATAATAAGGAATAAAACGATCGAACAAGATACACCATACTTTCATGGCAGGAATTTGCTGCACCTTCTTCCCACATGTTTGATTATCTTTGCTCAATGGGGCAGTCAGCAATTGATATTACGATTGATGTATTGAATTGATATTTTTTGTAACATCATCGGAGCACTTGAACGGAGGTGGAAACGTACCTTTCCGAAACATCAATGAATAGAAAAAAGACTACAACACTGTCGACACAATTATGACGGTCTTTATAAAAAAAATACGAAGAAAAATATGTACATAAAGAACACTTGAGAAAAACGACGATTTTTTTGAGAGCAAACATGTTTGCTCTCAAAAAAATCGTCGTTTTTCAAGTGTTTTAAAATTGCTGCTAATTAGAAATTACATAAAGAACATTGTGTACTTTCACAACTGATAAACGAAAATGACTATGAATTGAACATGTCGAAACATGTTTGCTCTCAAAAAAATCGTCGTTTTTCTCAAGTGTTTTTTAAAATTGCTGCTAATTAGAAATTACATAAAGAACATTGTGTACTTTCACAACTGATAAACGAAAAATGACTATGAATTGAACGAAATAAGACCCAGACTTTAGTTACGGTAATGTGAAAATCTTTGCTAGGGGGGGAAATGGCGACGGACATGCATGACTGACGAAGCTATGGAAATGAAAGATTTTGTTGGTAATCTCTCACAGTCAAATACCTGTTGACATGTACGAATACCTAAATTTAGTCATGAAGATCATTATTTTTACAATAGATTGTTACGTTTTAATCTAATTTGCGAAACTCAGTTAGAATTTTAAGGCAAATAGTGATGTAGACTCATATTTTAGGTGGAAAAGCTTTTTAACCTTGTTGTAGCTCCAAATTTTACAGCATATAAATTATGTTCATGTAGTCCCTGCAAAATCTTATCAGTTGTACAACAGACAACCCCTAACATGGCGAAATGTCCCCATACATAAAGCAATATCTTGGGCTATATTTATCATACGGTACATTTACATCATGCACAACAATTTGAAAGATAAATAGTACTAAAGTCGAATGACAAATTAACGTCAATTTTAAACTTCTTGTATTTTTCTTGTTACGTGTTACTGTACTAGCCTTCTTGAATTTCTAGAGACACGACAATTTGATTTAAAAAAGGTTTTTTGGTCATCCATGTAGAAGCAATCATTGACATTACACAAGATTATACAAAACAAGATTTCAGCTCAAATAGCACAAACAAGGCAACTCACTAGTAGGTTTTACTTCGTTTATCGTAACTAGTGAGTAGCAGTTTTAGATCCAATGAACAATTTTGTCCAATAAAATACATTTATCAGATCTTCCCACGTTCACTATGTAGAATGCCATTCAAGTAAGCCAACCTTTTTATGTTTCGTTACATTACATTTGGTTACACAATATGGTGCTTGATGATCGCAGTAATTTCAAATATGATCATAGAACATTTTAGGTCTGTTTTCCACGTCGTGACTTGAAGCTTCGCCTGCGTAAGGTACATTCAAAATTAATCCTACTTTCTGTTTCAGAAAGGGCATGCGGTTTTGTGTATGGAGGGTGGAGGGGGAATGTGACGATAACACTATTTCATGTAATCCAGAAATTAAATAAGGGAACAGTTGTGAAGGAAATGCTGGATAAAAGGATACATTGAACAGAAACCTTTGGGGATGAAAGATTGATGCACTTTTCATCCCTTACTTCATCAATCCTACATTCTATTTAATAGAAAGAAAATACAATGCAATACATGGTCAAAGTACCTCGTCTGCCATCTTGGACCTGAATTCCACACTCCTCCAAATGAAGGCAACCTGAACACGGAAAACAACAATAAATTAAGGCAAATATATTAATATTTTTCTTCCTCGAGAATGAATCCTAGATTATTAATAACACCGTACATGGAAACTGTCGAACCATAGAATTTACGAATCGAGCAGTAAGAAAATATTTAAGAAACGCACGAGCAGAAAGAGACTCAAAAAAGCCGAGAAAGAGACTTAATTAAAACATAAACATCACTCATTTGCTAATTTTATCAAAACAGCCATGATTAATCTGGAGTGTTTGCATATAGGCTTTGTGTTTGCAGATAGTTGACAATCCTCGTTTTTTCCGTTTCAATGTTGATCGGCCAAAACTTGTTGAGGCGATGAAACTGTAGCATTCATTGTAATACTTCCAGTACTTAAGTGCAAGATTGAAAGGTTGAAGTGGTTTGTAGAGTACTCGTTTGATTTACATGTAGTAACAATGGGTTGAAGAGTGTAAGTTGTGAGAATCAAAGCTAACGAACATCCCCCTAGATTAATTTGATGTGATTTTTAGTGGAATGAAACCATTGAGCGAAACAAAAAACAACTGTGGGAGTTACGTTTTTAAGAATCGGTTCAGGATGTGATGGATAAGCTTTGGCACTTTGAAGAAGCTTTAAGGATTACCAGGATAATATCTTATATTGCGACCAGGGGAGAATCAGGTCGTTTTCGATGACGTAACAGCAACCATGTAACGATTGTCAATAAAATTTTTTTTTTTTGCAAACATCGACATGACAGCAGGTAATATTCGGTTGCTCTAGCTCATTTGGGAATGATTATTATTCAATCTAGGAAACGTTTGACGTTCCAACTATTTATCTCTCGTATTCACATGACACATGTTAGTGTGAGATCATATCATCATCATGAAATGAAAGATAATTCCCATTTGTCAAAAATATTATGAACGTTGTAGCGTAGCCAGTCCGTTTATTTAGAAATTCGTTCACTCGCTACGAAAACAAAACATTTCAAATAAAAAAAAAGAGAATTTTCTTCAATTGACATAGCAGTACTGAAACTTGCCGACTGGCTACTGCTGAAAACACAGTGGAAAGTAAACAAGAACGACGGGCAACTCATAAAAAGGCTTGATACCGTCGGCGCCACACTGACATGGCGCACCGCAAGAAATGTAAACAATTCGTGTTCTATCTTTCGAATCAGCTGCGACTAATCTGAATAGTTTTTTTCTAAGCTGAATGAATTCCCCACCATCGTCATCAGGCAAATGCTGAAACCCGCATATATCAATAAAGTTTCAATAAACAGGATAAGGAGTATTGACGCTATCACATATGGTAATAATCACATGTCAATTATGAATCGCTTCATGAAGACATATTTTGAGTGAATCTATTCACTTAGGAATTCCAATTAGTAAGTAGGTATGTGATTTGAAAAAGATATCGATGCTTTCTAAATTCTAAGTCGTATTATTTGACAAAACAGACTAGATGAGCTCTACATTATCAAATTTCCGTTTCTTTCATTCCTTTGAGACCGCCTGTAGACATAAGGATCATTCAATTAGCAAATCCAGATCGAATTACCGTGCGGTCTTTGTGGGATGCCAAAATCAATTCTTAATGCTTAATTCAATGAATTCCTATTATCATAAAACAAAGAACTTATTAGGCCTGAAAACATTTGTAATAAGCTCTAACTCAGAAAAATCAATTGACCTATAAATATTCTAAATTCTAAACTCAAGGAACTCACACATTCTGAATAGCTTTTAAATTCCCGGTGAGAAAATGATGAATTAAATCTTTGCAGGTCAAGGTCAACTGACACATGCGCGTTGCACATGCGCTATTATGACAACGACACGAGACAGGAACGAGCAGCCAAATAAAAATGGTACGCTTTGCGTACATAAATGTACGTTGGTCTACTAACTATCTGCAGTGGATGGACGTCGTGACTAGGGAATAACTCAATACAATGATACGAGCACAGAAATCAATTAAAACGAAACAACAATGCCTGTCGTAAACGTTTTATAAAACAACACAACAAAGCCTGTCGTAAACGTTTTATAAAACAACACAACAAAGCCTGTCGTAAACGTTTTATAAAACAACACAACAAAGCCTGTCGTAAACGTTTTATAAAACAACACAACAAAGCCTGTCGTAAACGTTTTATAAAACAACACAACAAAGCCTGTCATAAACGTTTTATAAAACGACACAACAAAGCCTGTCGTAAACGTTTTATAAAACGACACAACAAAGCCTGTTGTAAACGTTTTATAAAACAACACAACAAAGCCAGTCATAAACGTTTTATAAAACGAAACAACAAAGCCTGTCATAAACGTTTTATAAAACGACACAACAAAGCCTGTCGTAAACGTTCTATAAAACGACACAGTTGACAGCAAATGACGTGTAAATACATACTAGAACAATGGGATAGTGGCGCGCTGTCTTATTCGTTTACATATTGCTACGAAGGAACAAGGAACAGATCACAATACAAATGATGTTTTCCAATCGTCACTGATGATTGAAAAAAGCTCCATGTTGCAAAGAAGCCTTCTCGTTAGTTACATTGGACAACCGCATTCTGTGATAACAGTTATCATGATGATCACCGCCGAATAAGATGGCGGTGCATACGAAGAATTTGACATCCACACAAAGATTTTACAAGTATTCAAAAGACAACAAGTATTTTAAATACCCCCACTTATCCCGCATTTTATTGATGAACAAACAAATCAACGGGAAATGCCCGGACTAATTAACACATATGTAATCATAAATATTAGAACAACCAAATATGGCATGGTAAATTTGATGAGTAATCTTTGTTCGAACATCGTTACTTATAATCGACCGTAAAGCATGCATTTTTAAAAAACACCTCGAGCTATTTGGCTTCAACTTATGCCAATTTAATAAATACAAGCAAAAGATCGTATTCGTGGTTTGAGCGGGAAAAACGCGAAATGCTACGTCCTGTCGCATGGAGAAATCAATCCGTTTGACGAAAAAGGGTGGGTAATAATTCCATGTTTTACAATATGCGAAATTAAACCTTAATCCAATCACTAAACAATATGTGATAAATTGCCTATAACTAAAAGACTAAAGATTGAGGTTGGAGTTAAAAATTGCGTATTGCGAACACAAACCGATAGATGGAGAATTTCTCAATGGAAAATTTACAATATGTGGCAAAACCGGCAAAACACTAGCCACCAATAAAACTATTTCAAAAACAAAAAGTTCATTAGTGCGGTAGTTAACTGCCAAGAAGATTGATTACAAACGTACTCTAGGAAAAATATACAGTCTTCACTCACCATTCGTTGTCAACTTTACAAGTTCGATCGAAATTTGCTCCAACTCGATATGGATTCTTCCCACGTTTCTTTAAACGCTCAGCTGCAAAAATTTTTTAACAGTCAACAATGTCGGAGATTATTGTAATAGAAACTGTCGAATTACAAGATTAAATTTACAATTAATCACTTCACTATTTCGAATACAATTTGTCCTGCATACCGTGTTTTTGAAATTCACTAAATGATGGACCAATAGCAGAAGAATGGGTAGTTTCATCGTCGTCCTAAGACAAAATTATAAAGTGTAATGATTTCTAAATTTTGAGTCATGAATTATTATACTGAAAGGACAAAATGCAAAACGTGATCAAAATACACTTACTGGAAGAAGCCATGGAGGAGTAGCACCTGAATTAAAAAAAATACCCCATCATATGAAAATGTCTTAAGGTTGCACATTGACCAAAGCATACTGGCTAATGCACACTGTCCAAAGCACACTGTTCAAAGCACATAGGCTAAAGCACACTGTCCAAAGCATACTTCCCAAGGCACACAGACCAAAGCACATGGTCCAAAGCATACTGACCAAAGCACACTGACCAAAGCAAACTGACCAAAGCACACTGACCAAAACAGATTGTCCAAAGCACATTGACCAAAAGCAAACTGACCAAAGCACACTGATTAAAGAACATTGTCTAAAGCAAACTGACCAAAGCGCATTGACAAAAACACATTAACCAAAGCAAATCGTACAAAACACACCAGCCAAAGCACATTAACCAAGGCACACTAACTAAACACAGAGTTCGATAAGAGTGTTGAAAAAACCCAACAATCGTCAAAAATAACAGCAGAAATTCAAATTTACCAAATTAATATCTGGAATAAGAAAACATACCTGTATGGATATTTTGTGAGATTTCTCCGTTCTTAAAGATACGAAGAAAGAACGCATAAATTCGCAATCCACATTACTGCCGAGAAACAAAATCGAAATAGCTACCTTGGTTGCTTCAACTGTGACACGAAGCTTCTTGGCTCCCTCTAAGTAAAAATGAATTTTTTTTTCACACAATTAAACTCATCTAACAGCACACGCCAAATGAGTAAACTGAAAAATCTCAAGAGAAACGGAAACGTTCAGGGGCCGGTTGTTCAATAGGGGGGGGGGGTTAACGCTAACCCTGGCTTAAATTTGCATAACGCAGGGTTAAATCTAATCCTAGGTTAGTTATTAATTCTAGGCTAAGTTAACCGGCTTTTGAACAACCGGCTCCAGAAGTTTAAAATAGCTGAAATTTTGAACTAATTTAACATAAATTTCTACACACTGGGAGCCTTTCTCCCATCTTCAAGATCAAATTCCCACGGGTACCATTGATCAGAGCGAGCACTAAAAACACAAACAAATAATGATGAAAAGAGACGTTGCCAAGAATGTAACACGTCACCTTGCGGTTGGTTTTCATGGATACTCAGATTGTTAAGCATATAATAAGCCATGGATACTTCTTTATATGTTAAAAGAGCATAGGGAATGTTTGAAAGAAAATTTAATAACATAGCAAATTCATGTATGGTATACCTGTATTTTACAACACCTCCACCCCAGACTCTTTGACCGTC